ATTTTGGCCCTCCCAAGAAGCTGATCTCCGATGAAGGCCGACCTTGGCTTGGTGCACCGTTTGAATCTTGGACAAGCTCACTTGGCATTGACCATCAAGTAGCACCAGGAGAAGCTCATGAGCGTCTTTCGTTGGTTGAGCGCCGTCATGCAGTGCTGCGCCGTGCCTGTGAGGTCTACATGGATGACCGCAAGCTCAACGACGCTGCTGGCATCAAGGAAGCACTTTGCTATGTGATCCCACAGCAGAACGCCACACCTGCAGTTGCTGGCTTCTCGCCCAGTCAATGGATTCTTGGCTTCCAACCTGAGCTGTCCCACCTCATGGACTCCAACCTCAATGCAGCTCAACTTGCTGGCAACAACAGCTCATTTGAGGAGAACCTTGAGCGGCGAACTGCTGCAAAGATGGCCCTGGCATCTGCTGATGCTGACTCCAAGCTGCGACGAGCTCTCAGTCGCAAGTACCAGGGCCAGAATCGAATTTTCCAGTTGGGAGAAAGAGTATGGTTTTGGCGTGATGCTCGCCAAGGAGCCCTGAACAAGATCAGATGGCTTGGTCCTGCCCACGTGGTTCTTCGTGAAGAAGATGCTGAAGCTGATACTGCAGCTCCAAAGGTCAAGACCTACTGGCTCGCCTATAAAACACAGTTGATTCGTGCTGCGCCTCACCATGTCCGTGCAGACTCCTCGGACCTCAGCACGTGCTCGAAGACCTGCAATCAGCCCTCAACAAAGTGAGACAGCTGAAATCCCGTGGAGTCACTAGATTCTACGACTTGAGACGGGTGAACCGCCAACAGCTGGATGATGTCGAGGAAGATGAACAACACACTGACCCTGATGGTCCTCTGCTGGAAGAAGATGATGATGAGCCTCCCAGGCATCGTTTTCGCCTGGAGCCACCCGTGCCGACTGCAGAAGCACCACCACAGATCATCGTGCCCGATGCTGAATATGAGCCTGCCTCACCTGCTCATTCCAGCTTTGCACCGACGTCTCCCAGAACACCAACAACACCAGTGATGGCAGAACCAAACATGTTGCTGCCCATGGCCCCAGCCGAAATCACTGTACCAGGTTCACCAGCCACCACTAGGTCCCGCTCACGGGCTCCTACTGTGGTCGAACCCAGCGAAGAGCCAACCATACCATCTGCAGCACCCACACCACATGCTGCATCACCACCGGCTATTGCAACAGCACCTCAAGCATCAATGTCAGGGCCTTCACTGGACCCTGACACTGCAGCATTGTATGAACCAGTCGATGCTGAAACCTTTCAACAACGACGAGTTCGCTTCAACAGACAGGAGACACTTAGTTTTGGCCCCCTGCGAAGACAGCGCATTGGGTCACCACAGCCATACAACACGACGTCACAGACAACAATACCAGAAGCAGAACACAACAGTGCAGAGCACAACACACAAGCAACAGCGGCAGCCGCAGAAGCGCCAGCCCAAGTATCGGCAGCTCCAGCTGCTTCGGATGATCCTGCTCTCTATGCAAGTCAGAAGGCACCTGATCACGCCTTGCTGAATCATGCCTTCCAAGTCTCCGGCATTGAAGCCAACTGCCTGCCAAAAGGTTGGACCTATGAGAATGGCTACTTCCAGCTCGACAAGAGAGACCGCGACTTCTGGGAAGTCAAAGCCGGATGTTTGATCAGACACCATGTGATCCCTCGACGATCCAAGATGTGCCTGCACCAATTGCCAAAAGACAGCCCCTTCACCTCAGATCAGCTTGATCTGGTTCGGATGACCATTATGTATGACAACAACGGCAAAAGCATCCAACAGACCGACGATGGCTACACGGCTTCCACTCCCTTGGATCGCTCATGGACTGGAGTCACGATCTTCCAGATCAAAGGCGACCTTCGTCGAGAGATGGCCATGTTCGCTAAGGCCCCACTTCAAGGAGCACGACAGCTTGGCAAGGAGACCAAACTCCGGCACGCCAAAAGCTTCAAGAAAGACAAGAACAAGAATAACCTCTCGGAGCGCCACATGACTCCTGATGAGCGAGCAGCCTTCAAAGCTGCAAAGGTCAAAGAGTTGCAATCCTTCTTTGACAACCACGTCTGGCAGTTCGAGACCACCAGAGAAGCTGAGCCCAGTCGGACGCTGACCAGTCGCATGCTGCTGAAGTGGTCAAAAAATCCTGATGGCAGCCCCCCGTGCCAAAGCCAGGCTCATTATCAGAGGCTTCATGGACCCAGACGCTTGGGAAGGAACTGTTCCAACCTCATCGCCCACAACCACGAGGCTGTCGAGATCCATATTGTTGAGTTTGGCCTCCACCATGCAGTGGCCAATCTAGACTTCAGACATAGCAACCGCCTTCCTGCAGGGTCGACCTCAGACACGCAAGTTGTGGGTGCAGCTTCCTCAAGAGTGTTTGCAGTTGCTTGGAGCTACAGCTGACACCCGTATGTTGCTTCTCAAGCCCTGCTACGGCCAGATCGATGCCCCGAGATCTTGGTTCATGGCTGCAGTTGATAAGCTGAGCGCTATGGGCCTCCGACAGCATCCTCAAGACCCTTGCTGCTTCTTAATCTATGAAGGTGACCTCAACCCTGAGTATGACACCACAGCTGAGCACTCCAACCTGCTTGGACCTCATGGCCTATGTGGTATGGTCATCGTGCACGTCGATGACATGCTTGGTTGCGGTTCGCCATCCTCCCAATGCTACAACGACACCATCACCAAGTTGAAGAGCACCTTCAATTTCCGTGAATGGAAAACTGGTGATGATGGAAAGCCCTTGACCTATTGTGGTTGGGACATTCAGGTCAAGGATGATGATCTCCTCCTCAACCAGACCAGCTACATGGGAAAGGTGAAACCGATCACCTACGACAAGAAACGCAGCCTCACCGATGCGCTCAATCAGCGTGAGTTGACACAGCTGAGAGGACTTCTTGGTTCACTTCAATGGCCCGCAGTTCAAAGCAGTCCTCACTTGCAGAACAGCACCTCGATCCTGAGCGGTCATGTCACCAAGGCCACGCTTCAGACAGTAGCCGACACAAATCGCCTGCTGCGTTTTGCAAAAGAAAATGTTGATGTTGGCCTACAGTATAGCCACCTAGGCGAAATTTCAGAACTTTGTTTGGTATGTTTTTTTGATGCTGCCTTTGCCACCCGTAGTGACGGAGCCTCATAAGCTGGCTATGTGATCGAAATGGTCAACAAAGCTTTGCTTCAGGCCAATGGTCCCGAAGGAGCCTACCACGTATTGGATTGGCGCAGTTTGAAAACGCCAAGAGTTACACGCTCTTCCTTGGGCGCCGAAGCACAAAGCGGTGGTCAAGCTTGCGATGCCTTGGAACATACCAGCATCTACTGGAGCTTGTTAGTTGACCCTCGCCAGCGACTCCAAGAGCTCTTGGACGCTCCATCCTTGTTGTCGCCCACCATGATCACGGACGCCAAAGCCCTTTACGACTCCTATCACCGAGAAGGAGTCGGAAGCTCTGTGGTTGACAAGCGAGTTTCGCTTAAGATCCGTGAGATAAAGGATCGCCTGTCTTCACTGGGCGGTTCTTTGAGGTAGATGTCATCGGAGCGCCAACTGGCTAACGGTTTGACAAAAGAGTCGGCCAAAGCACTTCTTGCACAACGGCTACGTCACGGTCGTTTGAAGCTTGTTTGGGACCCCCTCATACAAAGCTGCCAAGAAGAAGACAAAAGCTGAGCTCCAACAGAGTCTCGCTAAAAACATCCATATAATACCACCACATGTAATCAATGAGGAACCCAACCTCCACGAGGAGCACCAGCAGCCCATCGACGAGAATCCTGCGGAAAATGACGTGAATGTCGATGAGCAGGTGTTTTAGAATGAAGAGATTTTTCGGAATTCCAAGGTTCCTATAAATGTCATGTTTGCCAGGATCGACCGGAAGCTTGAGTATGTCTCCGACAGTCCGAGCCATATCGGAAGCCGCCCGCTCGAGTCCTACCGCGGTCGTAAGACGAATTTCATGTTTTGGTTTTTGCTTTTGTTTTATGGCCCCACAGCTGGTCACGGCCGATTCGGCCAATGTGGAACCTGAAGCTGGAATGGATTGGTTTAGAACTGTTTTGTACACCCTCCTTCTACTTTTTTCGGAGCACAGCCTTCATGGTTGGTCGATGGAATCATAATGCACACCACCGAATACCACCCCAGGTCACTAAGGCTGCAGTCCAAAAGGATGAAGCGATCATCCCAGCTCGTTTTAGAGAAAAAATCAAACGCCTGCAGCAGGAAGTCCTACGCTAGAGTTCCAAAGCTAAGGAGTCCCGCCTTGCTGCTATCGAAGCCACGACAACGATGAATTTGGTTCTAAGAAACCAGAATGCTGCTAAGACCCTTGCACAGGAAGCCTCCCAAATCCTAAAGATCGCCCCTAAAGCAGATGGATAAGCATAGAAATAAATACCCCTTCTACAATGGCATAATCATCAGCCGGCATGGCGCCAGATGGCACACGACCTTAAATTATTCAAGCCTAACCGGAAGAGATGAAAGACTACAGCGGCGAGTAGATTTCTACCGGCTTTGTAGTTTAAGGGTAATTCCACCTAATCTTATCGATAATCGGTCAGGCTCATCTATACGGACCTTAGTCTACAATGGCTAGACCGGTTCGAACAGCGGAACTGGGGTAATAACGAAAGACTTTCCCCCATGTAAAGTTCATGCTGTGCACTTGTGTTTCGGCAGTTCGAACTGTTTTCGACCTTCACTTACCGTCGTTCCCTCTCAAGATAGGAAGACAGTTACCTTGCAAAAGGCGCGGCCGCGACGCTTCAGTGCGCCCTCTTGTTTTCGTGTTTGCGGACTTCGGATGCCGCTGCTACCTTTTTCGCATTAAGAATAACTTTTCGAATAAATATTCATACGGATTCGTACATATCCATTTATTTTATATAAATGATATAGTTAATTCAACTAAGAATTATTTTACAAACAAATATTATCTATATAGAATTTCTTTTCCTTTTATCCAAGATTTGCAGCAAGTGCCCACAGTGCAAATCTCAGGCCCTGGTTGCACTGTGGACATTTACTCCCAGCGGGCAAATATTCTTCGTTCACTGCCTGCAAGCGGGAGGATGTGCTTGACCAGAGACTTTGATTAGTTTGGGCTTTCCAGTCATTTTCTTATCATTTTTCAATCGCAACCAGACTCCTTTCAACTCAATTTTTTTGGCCGAAAGGCACAAGTGTGGATTTTTCATCCATGGCTCAGCCTTGCACCTTCACAGAGCCAGAAAAAGCAGCGCCGGTCGAAACTTCATTTGGATCGCAAAAAGGTCAGGGGCTCCAGGCCAAGAGTAATTCGAAAAAGAACCGAACGAACGCTTTCGCAAACCAAAAGACAAGGGAATTAGGTGGCTTGCTTACCCAATGATGATCTACTCTGGAAAGTGGATCGAAGTAAAAAAGAATCAAACATCTGGAATCCAGGAATCCCCCCTCCTTCTGTCATATCGTCAATGCACTTGGCAAGATGTGACGTTCCAACTTGGGCATGTGGTTCGCCAGATGCTTTTGGACCATCCTGACCAGCGCATTCCATCCGATGCTTTCGACATCAAAACCTTTCGCTTTCGGGGTCGCCACTTCGATGCGAGCCCGGAAGCGATTCAAAAATTGAAAGCAAGGCTGGGAAAGAATCTCCTAAGCTTCTTGTTCCTAATTGCGATGCCCTTAGCTTCTGGGAGCTTCTTGTTCCCAGAACCTTCACTTGCTTTCCTTTCTTTGGGTTCGCCCAAGCTCACAGCAAAGCTGTGGAGGTCGGTCATGTTACGTCGATTGTGCCAGGGCGTAAATCCCTGACAAAGTATTCGGGTTGTAATTGATTCCTTCCTCTACGAATTGAGTAGTCCAAGAATCACTTCACAGTTAGAAGAATTCCAAGACGAACACCCCCATCTCACATCCTGCTGCCAGACAGAAGATGGCACGAATCTCGATCTGCATTTTCTTTTCTAACCCCCGAATATGGACCCAGGCTTGGGGTTCTTTGACTTCATCCAAATCTCAGATTCATTCTCAGCATTGCCGACAGAGGGCTGGCCAGCAAACCGACTTGGTTTGCAAAAGCTGCTGGGAGCGGAATGCAGCGGAGTCTCCAACTTCGAGCAAAAAAACCTCTGTTCAAGGACCTTTTGCAGATCCTTTTGCGCCCAAACCTCGTTTGGACGGACCCAAAAACCCTTCCTCCTTCCCAGGATTTGAGAGAGTCAGCCCTGGGAGTTGGATTTTCAAATACTTTGGATCCTTTCGCTGGGTCGTTCTTAAGGACTTCCCAGGGTTTCATTTTTCCTTTACTTCCTTTTTGTTCGGTGTTTTGAACTGTGCGGTCCACTACAATTCTTCTGACCTGATATCTTCTTTTCATGTTTTTTCCAAACTTGGCAGACCTGCTTGGTCCATCGTCAACACCACACCACTCTCTGGACCCCGTCGAAAGATGCCGACCACAGCGACGCGCTCGCCAAACGAGCGCCCCCACTGCCGATCCGACATCTGACCTCGCGGGAGCTCCGGAAGTGCTCAGGTCTTCGCCACTCCATCCCATCGCAACTTAAACACGGCCGCTCGACAAACATTCAAATGTTTCGGGATTGCCCCGGAATGGACCCAGCTCGAGCACAATCTGCCACAAGTTGTGTGTGAATTGAAAGGTACGAGAGTTCAGTTGGAGGTAAGCAAAGGGTGGATGCCCAAGTAACTTTCCTAGTGCCAAAGCGGCTTCATGTACCTCGACATGGTACTGTGCTTCTTCGCATTGGTTTCACTTTTTCCTCTGGGAATTTTGATCGGCTTAAGCTGAATCACCGCAAGCTTGGTGTCAAATATTATCTGCTTTGGTGATTGTCTTCAGAAAAAGGTGTTGTCTTTTTGAGACTGAAGATGAAAGGGACGAAGCCAACGATAATTAGAGATCCGATGACCAAATCGATCCAAAAGGGCAACTATGAAAAAAAACAATGGAACCTACAGATCATGTAAATTACTAACGGATGTTCGTCCATAAGAGATCACCGCTTCATAGATTAGCTCACACTTCTTGACATTGGGCTGTGTTAGGATTGGCTTCAGTAGTAATTCTAACGCTAACCTCCATTTCAAGTTGCATAACACTTCAGGGCTGCTCCAAATGCTGATCACTTACCTCAGCTGGGAGCAAGAGGAAAATTATCCGTTTCAAAAAGGCTTGATTCATGTTGGGATTTTGAGCTCGATCTGGCCGCATCTTCCTTAGGGCTCAAACAATTTTCCCGAATTGTACATCGAAGGACCAACTTGGCGCTTCTCAAAGTGCTCTTTGCACAGCTTCACTGCTTTGCTCATGGGTTGATATGTTCCTTCATTTCTGGCACATGCAGCAAAACCAGGGCATGTAATGGATGCAACTCAAACACCTGTTCAATTTACTGCAAATTCCAGCCAAAAGTCGGCGTATCTCAAGTTTGCCTAAACCTCTAGGAACCAAATCATTAGGTAGCTAGGAGCGAACCTTTCCCTTACTTAATTGAATAGGCGCCTACTCAATTAAGTAAGGGCGGGCAAAAAGAGACAACCATGTTAGACAGAGCCAGTACCAGAATGGAGGTCAATGCAGGTCGTTGTAATTTGTGGACCATATGCTGAACCGCCGACATTACGCAACATGATCCTTAGTTTTCTTAAAAATCTAGATGAACAGTGCGTGAGCTATTCGTCCTGGCTAGGAGCTTCCTATTGCTTGTAGCTTACCTGCTTACTTAATCAAGCAGGTGGCTAGTAATGAAAAAGTTTACCTCTTCTGTTTTGCGCCGCTGCCATACCTCTCTGCTTGTTTTGAGAAACACCTTCAAGTCCGATTGCCTTCGTGGATCAATTCTGTCCCCCGCCGCAGGGGCCGCTGGGAGCTAGCGCATTCGAAGAATTGGTTCAAAAAACGCTTCAAGAGATGGAAGAATCAGTTTCGGTTTCAAAAATGGTTCAAACCGTATCCCCAAACGAACTAACTCGTCTATTTTTCCTTTTGCCCGGTCCAGGGACTCTATTTTGTATCTTGTGTTCAGGAGCATCGTACATTCTTCAAGCACCGTGTACTTTTTGCCCTCCCAAGGACTTCACATGATAGGTTTGGCCTTCTCACCATCAGATTGGTGTCACGTATGTGGCGCACAGTTGCAAATAATCAATTCCCAAATCACCTCAACACTTGACACTTACCTGTTCCCGCCAGCAGTCAGGAACACAAACTCCCTGCCTTTCTCAACTTGCCGCTAACACACATTCCGGTGCAGAACGAATTGTGCCCCACAAAGGTTTTTTCTCCACTTCCAGGATTCTTCAGTGTAGTCAAGCTGTATTTGGATCTGGACACAGGCAAGCTGTGTCCTGAAATCGACGTGATGGATCTGGCATCTTTCAAGGCTCCCTCACTAGAGTCATGCTGCGCTTCACAGAAGTGGCCCAGATCGGGTTCCTTGCTTGGCGTTTGGACAGGCGCCAACGAAGGCAAACCTTCATCTTTTTTCTACGTTTGGACCGTAGAACTCAACATCGGCGTCCTTTGCCTTGTGTGACCCAATCCTTTGGATCAGGTTTTGCACTCGGATACATTTCGGGCCAAGGCAGCCAGCACCGATATTCAATGTCCAGTTCTTTCTGCAAGAGCCAGGACCTTTACATTAGGTTGGAGGCCATTGCTAGTAGGAGCAAGGACGCTACTAGGGGCTCCTGGCCTTACTAGGAACAAGAAGGTAGTAAGGGCTCCTGGCATCGCTACGAACGGAGCGATTGGACGCTGTTAGGTTGGAGGCAAAACGGACAATTTGCTTCGTCACGTGTGACCGCACTGGGCCGCCCGAGCATCTACCTAAAGCAGCGGCGACCGCACTGGGCCACCACCGCACCGCGTGAGATCTCGGTGCGCACCGATGAGGGCAAAGCCGCCGGCCCTCTTGGATGAACAACCAACTTAGATCCTGACCCACGAGCTTCGTAGCTTGGAACTAGCCAAGCTTCTTGTTATTAATAAGAATGCTCCTAGTAAGGCCAGCGCCGTTCGTAGCTTCTTGTTCCTAGGAATGGCCTCCAGCTACTCGAGTTGGACGAACTCTCAGAGTCAGGATCAATTGGATGCTCCAAGTTGGGTCTGAAGCTGCCACACAATTGCGTCATGTCACCCCGCAGGAAAACCTACCTGCCAGTCGTTTGTTAAGCATAATTCTCTGGATGTCGAATTGTCACTTGTGATCAGCACCCAAGTTGCCAAAACAAATCCAAGAGTTGGAGGGGGCTCCTGGCCTTACTACTAGGAACAAGAAGTCATTAGAAACAAGAATTAGAATTAGAATTTAATTCGAATTAGAATTACAATTAATAGCACAGGATGCTACTAGGAGCCTTTTCGCGCGCGTTTGGGGGTTAGGAGCAACCACGATCCGGGAAGAGGTTTAATTGCCAGTAGGTTTTATGGGATCCGCTCACTCCGGGGAAGTTTTGGGATTCCGGGAAAGACCTGCCTGCAACCCAGTGATTCGGACAAAGGTCTGCTTGCTAGTAACCACAGCGAAGTTTGACCTTTTGGTTCCACAATTTGTTTTGAACATTGGTGAGAGCCGAGTGTTTTATTGAAAACACTCGAACGAACGCGAGATCCGCGCTTTTCGCCTGGGCTGGCGATCGAGTTGAACCTAGTCGATTGCGGTATGTCACCGACATGGGCACTGCTTTACACCCTGCCTATTTTCATGGCGTGGGTCATTGCCAAAACATGGGACCTTTGCCGTGAAAATCCCTTCGGTGTTCACCCTATGGGTGCAGCTACTCGATCTCAGGCTCAGGTTCATCCATGAGCTTGTTGTCATTTCGACTTCGGTCATGTAGCTCCAATGCTACTGCCGCATCTTGCTCTTCAGAGCTACTGCTTTCATTTCTTCGTCTTGCTTGTCGTCTTGGTGGCATCTGAATTCTCTCAGCATCCTTGGTGGTCCCCAATTTGCAGCCATCCAGCCGTCTGGCCATTCGCTCTCTTCTAGTGGGCAATTCACATCTTCATGCCCTTTCTTCACATGGTAGGTGCACTGCCTCAG